CATTTTGCACAAATTTAGATTTCTTTAACAAAAAAAAAGAAAAAAGAAAAAAGGAATCTATACAATGAAATGGTGATTATCAACAACAGACCATTAACTTACAACTTGAGTTTGCTGACAGAAATAGTTTTTTGTRTCTTCTTCTTTGAAGACTGGTCCTTCACACTTTTGATCTGACTCTTGACCTGATCCTGCAGCTGAGAAAAGAAGGCCTGAGAGGACCGCAGAGCTTTGTCTTTCCCCTCATCCTAAAAGAAAAAAGGAATAATGTATTAGATGAGTCATTTCTGGAGTATGTTGAGTTATGTAAAAAGTAACAGCCTGGTGTGTTCACAMAGAGGGAGGTGACTAAACGAAGATAAAAAGCTAAAAATAGATGACCCTGTTTGCGATACGCAGGTAAAACGTGAGARGAATCAGGACACAGAAATGTTGCAGTGATGACTGCTGATCATGTGGTAAAATAAAAAATAAACTAGAGAAAATGCTCTGAAAAAAAAAAAACCGTGTGAAACGGAGTTATTAAATTTAAAAGAACCAAAACATTAGATAAAAGCTAAAAGAACACAATAAAGTAGCTTAATATATTAATTAGGGGTGCAACAATACATGTACCCGTATCGAACCGTTCAATACACTGCTTTAGGTTCAATACACACTATGTATCGAACAATACAGATTTTTTTTATTATTTGATTGACTTGTCTTCTGAAGATTCTCTGTGTTGAAGGATCAGTGGATCTGTGTTCGACTACTACACCTAGGCTGTATTTTCGAGCACAAATCCACTGAGAAACTTGCTGTTTCAGCAACATTTAATTTAAAAACTGTACTTTTGAGGTTCATAATTAATTTCAATAAATTACAAGTTAAGAAGGGCATGGGCAGTCCTCTTTTTTTGTATCAAAAAATATTGAACCGAGACTAAAGTATCGAACTGAATCGTGAATTTTCTGTATCATTACACCCCTAATATTTATATACATACAAACACTCTCACACACACACACACACGAGATGATATGAGACAGAGAGAGACAGAGAGAGAGACAGAGACAGAGACAGAGACAGAGACAGAGAGACAGAGAGAGAGACAGAGACAGAGACAGAGACAGAGACAGAGAGAGAGAGAGAAGTTATTAGATTGCAAAAAACACTCTAAATAAAACAGAAAAACAGCCAACCTTGAGTATTGTGGCTTTGCCTCCTTTTGTGAGTTTCTTAAGGTTTTCTGTGGCTTCAGCCTTCGAGAGCTTTCTGTTCTCCCCGGTTATGCTGGCCTCTTTAAGCCTCTGTCTCTTCTCTTTCTCCTTGATCTTCAGGTGCTTCACTTTCTTTTTGTGACGTCTCTCGCGCTTCTTGTCGGTCGATGTCTTCTCGGTGTCACCCAGAATATCTCCTGCTTTGTTCTTCTCCTTTAGGGAAAGCAAACATATTAGACAAACTGCAAATAACTACTGCAATAAATGTTTGTCACTGTGTTGACGGCAAACCTTGATTTCCTCTGGTGCGAGCAGCGCAGCGTCACTTGTGCTGACCGGAGCCACTTCCTCCATGGCGATAGATGGTAGGTTAGAGACCACTTTAACCTCAGGAACAGYCTGTTCAAGGACAGAAAACATTAACATTAATAACATTGATTTGATGAATCTGCACTGTTTACACACAACAAGCCTGAAGAAATGATGACACATAAAACATTATTGTGTTGAAAAGATTTCTTGGAAATGTTTCACCAATGGTGATTTTTTTTGTCAATGATAAAAAAAAACATAGTCAATAATACAATAAATTTAGCATTTTTACTTGTCTTAAAACCCACGTTTACTTTGGTTTTTGACACTGTGTAAAGGGTTGTGTTGTCCATTTATACTAGATTTTATTTTTTTGTAGAATTTTTTTTTTTATTCTAGATTTTAAATTAGGTTTTAGGTATTTCATTGTTTTTTATTCCTTGTTTTTACTTTGTTTTTTAATTACCTGCATTTATTTTTTCTGTGTTTTTTTATTTTTATTGTGATTGTGTTTGTTTTTGTATGAGCTGTGTTGGAATGTTGATTCTGTACAGCACTTTGATCTACTATGGTGCAAAAAGTGCTTTACAAATAAAGTTGGATTGGATTTTTAAAGGGATCCATGATCACTTGTAACATTAAACTTTATTTAATAAACATTTATTTTAACTGTAAAATAAAGACTGTAAAAATGCTGTAGGCTGTTTAGTTTTTATAATGTTTAAACTAAAAGTTTAAAAATATATTGCACAGATGGGGCCATTTTATTTACAAGCAAAGCATTCTGGGTAAATGATGACGTGGATGGGTCATCGGTGCGAGGTTGCTAGCGAGCTATATCCACCCTGAAGGTTAATCTTGGACAATATCTGACGATTGACTCTTTTAAATGAAACCAGAGCGTTGACAGAGAGGAGAAGGTAGAAATGACTCAGCCTGGAACTGAAAATATGGATGGAGGACAACAGAGCTGCTTCATGGAAGAACCTCAGCTTAGCCTGTTAGCTTTAGCATTAGCCCCGACGCTATCACCATATATATGTATTAGCTCAGCGCTACACATTCTCCTCTCGTCACTGAGGTCCTCCATCCACATGACAGAGAGGGGAACACAAAAATGACTCAGCCTGCAACTGAAAATATGGATGGAGGACCTCAGTTGAGCTTGTTAGTTTGTAGCGCTACCGCCGAGCTAATACATATAAGGCAATATAGCGTCAACACTAGCGCAAAGACTAACAGGCTAAGCTGAGGTTCTTCTTCCATGAAGCAGCTCTGTTGTCCTCCATCCATATTTTCAGTTACAGGCTGAGTCATTTCTACCTTCTCCTCTCTGTCAACGCTCTCTGGTTTCWTTTAAAAGAGRCGATCATCAGATATTGTCCAAGATTAACCTTCAGGGTGGATATAGCTCACTAGCAGCCTTGCACAGAGGACCTATCCATGTCATCATTTACCCAGAATGCTTTGTATGTAAATAAAATGGCTCCGTCTATGTTAAAATATATTCTAAAATTTTACAAAACTAAACAGCCTACAGTATTTTTAGTCTTTATTTTACAGTTAAAATATATGTTTATTAAATAAAGTCTAATGTTACAACTAATCATGAATCCCTTTAAGCTTATCTTTTAGTTTTTAAGGTATTTTAAGGTAATTAAAGCAGAAAAAGACTCACTGGTTTTGGTATGAAGTGGAAGTTCGAAAGTGCATCCAACTTCAAGAAGAGCTGATCCATCAGTTTCTGAATTTCTACGTGGGACGGGTTCTCCTCCTCCGTTTTTTGCTGGATTGAGAACAGGACGTTACAAAGTTTGAATCATTTTCAGCTAAATAAAAGTGACAAAAGTCAAACCTGAGTTTGTTTGATATATTCTTCCTCGTAGATTTCCGCCAGACTCTTTTTGCTCTTCTCATGGTCCAAAGTTAGTCTTTTCTTGTACTCAAACACCTGCTCTTTAGGCTTCTCTTTGCGGACGACATCATCAAATGCCTTAAAATGCAAAACATATTGGTAAACAGTTTAGTAATTAAACATCGATTTATGATTTTCAAAGCAAATTAAACTTTACTGTGACAAACCTGGTCTTTGATTCTCTGTTTGATGATGTCTTCAAGCTGTAGTGTGGTTTCCTCTGTGATGGCAGGGGCTGAAAAACAAAACCATTAATATCTCATTAATAACTGCAACATTAAATGATAAAATACACTCAGACACCATCCATTCAATTAGCCTAACATGGAACAGGAGCCCGGAGAAAACCCACGCCTGCGCAGAGAGAACATGCAAACCGAGAGGCAACAGCTCCACCTCTCAGAAACCATCATCCCAAACCTTCACTCACCCATCCTCGAGGCCTGTTCAAACTCCACATCTTCCTCCAGCATGCTGTTCTCTGGACGGGTCTGCGCCGACGCCTCGCCCGACAGCTGCCACGGCTTCTCGGTCAGAGCTGCTTTCTCCAGCTCGTCAATCTTCTGCGACATCTGCGAGGGGGAATAACAGCAGCTGGTAAACGAAGATCCACCTGGTCAGAGCTTTGGGTTGTGGGAGTGGTTTTATAAGCGCTGTTGATGCTCAACACACAGGAAGTTCACTTTAAGACTCGACTGCTTGTTCGTAGTTGGGTCATGGAGGCAACTGGTCCCGGAGAGAAACTAAAACACGGACACCCCTCACCCCAACGACACTCTCCTGCTAATTCTGGGGGATTCCCAAGTCTTCCTAGACCAGATATACGGGATATAAAATCCCTCCAGTGACTTTTATTAGGGGTGCAACAATTCATGTACCCGTATCAAACTGTTCAATACACACTTGTATCAGTATAGATTAGTAACAATATAGATTTTTTAAATTTATTTTATCAACTTGTCTTCTTAAGATTCTGTTTTTAGGGATCAGTGGATCTGTGTTCGAKTGCTCCATCCAGGCTGCATTGTCGAGCAAAGATCCATTGAGAAACTTGCTGTTTCAGCAACATTTCATTTAAAAACTGGACTTTTGAGGTTCAACAAAATGTTCATAATCAATTTAAATAAATTACAAGTTAAACAGGGCATGGACATTTCTCTTTTTTGCATCGAAAAAATATTGAACCTTGAGACTAAAGTATCGAACCGAATCAAATAGTGAATTTTCTGTATCGTTGCACCCCTAAATTCTATGTTTGCCCCATGGCCACTTCCCAGTGGGACGTGACCGAAAAACCTCAAAGCGGGGCGATGTCCAGGAGGCATGGTCATCAGTCAGCAGGATGGATTTTTATTGTTTGCTTAAAATGTTGTATTACTATATAGAAAAACATTTAGCATTTTAAAAACTACTTAAGACAACTGATGAACACTACTACAGCCAAAGTGTTAAAGTGCACAAATCATGCATTTTGTTCTGGACTCTGAGTCTTGAGGAGTGCAGAAAAGTTTAATTCAGTCTCTGTTGGTGCTGTTTAGAGATCTTTGTATTCTGTTTGGGTCAGATTTTTCCAACCTGTTCAGAAATTCTAAATAAGATCTGGACTTACCAACTACATTTTGGTGGTCTTCATTCTCCTCTGGTTCTGGGTCAGAAGACAAGTCTTCCCTTGATGACATCTTTTATTTCATTTATAAATAAAAAGTTTCTGTGCAGCTATATAGTCGTAAACCCCTCTATCAAACTAGAATAGACCACTCTGGAAGCTAGAAGGGGGTGGGTTTGGATTTAAAGAGACAGCCTCAGAATGAGAAAAGGGGCGGGGCTTGTGGAGTTACAATAAGGAGGAAATCAGACCAAAGCATTGCAGTTCCACTTTATACAGACCACAAATYAAGGATTTGAAAGAGATCAGAGATCCAGAAAAGAAAATCTGTCATTTTTAGCAGGTCAGCTGTGGAATAAAATTAGCTGGTAAAAAATATAAACTGTGTTAAATCATTTTCAGTTATTCAGAATCCACTCTGTTGCACACCGTACCCCCCCGCACGCTGCGCGGTCGCAGGTAGTCTCAGATGCGGGTTTGAAATAAGCATTTTAAAATGTTTTCAAAATATTTCTGGCACTTTGGAGAAAACCCAGGTCTTGCTAGAGGGATTGTGTATCCCCTCTGGCCTGGGAACGTCTCGGAGCCCCCCAGGACGAGCTGGAAGGTGTCGCTGGGGAGAGCGGGGTCTCCTGCTGCCCCCAGGACCCGATCCCGGATAAGCGGCAGAAAACGGARGGYAGGACAATTTATTTTGTTAGTCTAAATTATTACATTTAAAATTATAACTCTAATTCAAGCAGAATAGCCTATTGTCAACATAATTATGGAGTGTGATTTATATTCAACTCAAAATATCTTCAAACTAACGAAATATAAAGTTATTAGGGAGGAAAACCCGTCTGGATAACAGCAGACTGACTGCTGGTAAAATATACGACAGGTCTGGACCACACGTGAATTTTGTTCGTATCTGAAAAAAAAACGCAGAACACGAAAACATTGMTGAATGCCACAAATTCTCCTAAATCACTCGTACACAAATTAAGAACAAATCTGTGCGTATGAACGGTTCTTGCATGAGGCCCAATGCCTCCCGTTTCACATCACAAAATATAAAAAAAATAGACATAATCTTGGGCATCTTTCTGTTTTCTTTACTCCAGTATTTCTGACCAAAGAGTTCATTTTACATGATTCTTATCATTTCAGCTCTGATACAACAGAAACATGTGGTTCAGCCAAAAATGGAAAATACATTTAGAACAGTTACCTTCTCCTGTCGTTTCTCAAAAGAAGATTTTATTTCAGATTTTTCTTCATTTGGAGCGTTTCCGCCAAAGATTTCTTCCATATCCTCGCCCTCGCTGTCCTCATCCCCCAGGAGGTTAAAGGTCACTTTCTTCTGTTGCGCTTTAGATTCACTTTCCTGCTCGTCCCTGACAAACACAAAGGACAGGCGTTCCCCCAACATGCTTCTCCCACAGGTGATTATAAACACGACACATCTCTGATCACACTCACTCATCACTGCCTTCCTCCTCTTCTTCATAATCATCTTCATCCATTTCTTCATCACCTTCCTCCTGGCTTTCATCCGCTCCATCTGACCGCTCGCCGCTTTCAGCTGCTTCTCCCTCAACAGCATCAAAAAAGTCCTTGTACTTGAGATTTCTGGAACTCTTTACCTGTCAATAAAAACAAAAACATTAGAATTRCATTTTTCCTGTCCCGCCATGACACGAAGTCACCCGAGGTCAAATCCATACCGCAAGTTTCTTCTTCTTTTTAGAGGACGTTATTTGGTCCAAGTCGAGGTCGTCGTCCTCGTCAGAGGCAAGGTCCTGAAAGTAGTTGACATCGTCTTCATCCTCTTTTCCTTCTCGCTTGTCCATTTCATCAAGAAACGACTCCATTTCCGACAGTTTGAAGAACCTATCGTCAACCTCAGAGGGAATCGTTCTGGTTTTGGAACCTGTCCTCGCGTTTTCCTTCTTCTGCTTCTCTCGTTTCTCAAGAGCATCCACGTCAAAATCTAAATCAGAGTCATTCTCCGAGTCTCCCTCTGACCCGTCTTCTGCTTCCAGAGCATGCTTCTGTTTCAGTCGTGGCGAAGGATCACTTGCATTTTCATCGTATGTCATCTCTTCTTCTTCTTCCTCCCTTTCTTCCTCCTCTTCCTCCGACTCCGACAGTAATGTTAAGGTCTGGTCTGCCAAAGCTCCATCAATGGCAGTTTTAAAATATTTCAGCACGGCTTCATTCTGTAGCTCCAGCTCTTGCCAAATTTGCTCCTCGTCAAAGTTGTCCACAACCAGCTGGGCCAACGGGCTGCTTTTACAGCCTGCAGGCTCCTGAGATTTGTGAATGTCATACAGCGTCTTGGTGAGAGAAGTGAAGTCTGCTGCAACTTCATCCTGAAGGCTGAAAAGGGTCACATCAGACGATCAGTATGGCAGAAGTTTTATATGCTTAGAGGCAATGTTTATTTTATTTTTTAAGTCTACTTTGTAAACAGTTTGACTCTTTGAAGAGGTCATCTTAATCTTTATCTATAAATCTCTATTTGAATGCACAAATTTAAAAAATGTTTGAAGGGATATTTGTTTCACTAACAAGTCTTTTTGTCATACCAAAAATTAAATAATTCACATTCTACCATCATGATAATAATATCCAGCACTTGTTTGCCCTGTTTGGAGAAAACCTAGGATAGTTCGAATTATAATATTTCTATCATTCGTATTTTCATTTAAAAATGCACGTTAAACTTTTTAAATACTAAGCAGAAAGCATATGAAAATCGTTTCAGTGAATAAAACTTAGCCTTTCAATCCAGGTCCTTACARTTAGCAATTTTTACTCGTTGCTAACATTAGCATTAGCCGATAGTTCGCTAGCTAAAGCCCTCCTTTTATAAATATATATTTTAAAATAAAAACCACAAGAACACTTACCTTAGAAAGTTCTCTGGTTGTGCCGTGTTATCATTTATTATCTTGGCACAGTCCTCCAGCACAGTCCACATATCTTCATTATTGGCCATGTTTTCCCCACATGTATGGCTGTTTCTCTGTGTCGCAGGTAAACAGGCTCGGGCAGTAAATCGTCCGCTGCCCCAGATTAGTTCCGTGGTTAAAACATGGCGTCCGCTGCGCTGAAGGTTGCAGGTTGGTTTATGCTAAATAAATAGCTACAGCTTTTACGCTTTTATTTGTAACGTATTCTGTCTTCTTAAACTTACTTTTTACTTGAAAGTTAGCTATTCACTGCTGCGTTTCATTGTACGTATTTTGTTTTGTGTTTAAAACAACTAATTATCGCACAAACGGCACATACTAGGAATATTTGTTTACATAACTCATATGCAGTAACTTTCAAAACACCTCAAGTTTAAGTTTGTTAACACCAAACATTTGGTAGTCGCATCTATGCAATTGCCAAAACAATTAAAACATCCCTGTGTTTCAGTTCTATGATCTGGAGTTTCCACAACTTCAAGAACTTTGTGTTAAATATTAAACTTAATCATTGCAAAATATGAAATCAAACACAAAAAACTGTCTTGGTTTATATCAAATCAGATAAATCAGATTTAGAAAGAGTTTACTCCAGTATTTTGCCAGATACATTGAATGCAATTCTGAAAAGCGGGCCCACACTCAATGTAGACACTTCAACTGTTTTTATAGGTAAAAAGAAAGCACAGGATATATTAATTGGTATCTATCTGGTCACTAATATTGCTTGCAAATTCTTCATTTAAGGACACATTAATCATCAACGTTGGAAAAATATTGTGCAGATTTTGTTTCTTACTTTCTGATGTTTTATTTTTTTTTGTACTGCCTATCTTTAATACCAAGTACATCTTTATTAAAATAGTGATGCATATTTTTAAACATAGAAAATCATTGTTTAACCTTAAAAGAAGGGGCTAGATAAGAAAGTCAGTATTAAATGAAATGTGTTTATTCAGTGGCAGGAATTTCCAGATGTTCTGGCGTCTCACTCCTGAGGGCACATTCAACGACGGCGTCCCCCAGTCGGGGCGTTCCCGCCTCCCTGTGGAAGCTGGGTAAACTCAACCACGTGGCCATCGCTGTTCCCGACATGGAGAAGGCCACGGCTCTGTACCGCGACGTGCTCGGCGCCAAGGTGAGCGACAGAGTGCCCCTGCCGGAGCACGGCGTCTACACCGTGTTCGTAGAGCTGGGCAACACCAAGCTGGAGCTGCTCCATCCTCTGGGCGAGAAGAGCCCCATCTCTGGTTTCCTGCAGAAGAACAAGTCCGGAGGGTTGCACCACATTTGTATCGAGGTGAGAAGAACTGTTCAGTTGTATCAACATATCAACACTGAGTATTATCTCACATGAAAGCAGGTGACTTACTGTACAGTACGTAACTGTAAAAGAAGCTCTGCTCATAATGTGTTTACAGCAGCAACATCTTTATTTGTTTTAACAGGAAATAACGCTTTGTCCTCGTAGCACGGTAACATATGAATGCATGAATTCACATTTTTTATGCTTGACCATCATTTTTTTTATTTTACCAAGTAAAACTTTTGAGTTTTATTACAAAATTTAATTGTTTTATGATGACCCTTAACCAGTGTTTCATGAGATATTTTGCTAATCGACAGACCTTGTTAACCCTGTACTGCCCGTGGTACTTTTCCAGTTTGTGGTTACTTACTTCCTGCCTCTTTACAGCCTGACCCACACTACCAGGGACTTTGAATTTGCACAGTAGCCTGTTCAAACAGTTTGATTGGTTGCCTTATTTTGATTGACACCTCTTTTGACCAACTTGGTTCATCTGTAGAGTCTCCACAGCACAGGATGTGTGGTGAACCCGCACGAGCTGCAGGTGATTGATTAGAATCAGCCAATCAGCTCTGAGCTTATTTCTGACATCACAGCTTTGTAGCCAATCCAGTTACCTTTTATTCGATATGCAGTTTTGGAAATAATAAAAAAAGGTTATAGTGTATTTTAACTTCAATAACTGAATACTAGTTACAGTTACAAAGATTATGACTGCTAAAGCTAAAACTTCAGATTCATAGCTTTACATAGAGGCTTGTGAATTTACTCCACAGGGTTCAAGAGCAGTACTTAATTTAATTTGAGTTAGGGTTAGTTAGGCCCACGGGTACACATTTGTTTTATTTAGAACAAAGTCCTCAACAGGATCAAATCAAAGATATAACATGGTATTTACTGGTGCATAATTAAAAAAAACGTATAAATCTCTTAAATGTAGAACTGACAAACTTTTCACTTGAAACGTAAACTGTGACACGTTCAGTCGAGTGTCAATACCGATGTCGGTCCCGAGTCTCGGGGCATTTTAAACGAGTATTTTAAAAATAAAGCAAACAAATTTGTTTTGTTTAGTGGTTTAAAGGGGCAATATCATGTAAAATCAATTTTTTGAGATTTATATCATGTTATAATTTTATACTCTCATAAAAAACATGCCCAAAGCCTTGCTCTGACTCATTCATGCATGTTTGAAAAATACTGCAGTGTTTTTATGAAGCCATGCTGAGGAGCAAAATGACAGGTGGGGACCAGAAACGCATTTTGGTACCAGAAACGTCCCTGGGACGTGTCTTTAAGCCGAACTTCCTCATGGCAGAGCGTACCCCCTCCTCACACACCCCGCCCATGACTCCTGCAGGCTCTTGGGTGAAACTGAAAGTGAAACCTAACTGTCTGCTGAGCTCCACTACTTCTCACTCAGTGAAGCTCTTTTCAGCTTAAAAATACCTTTGAGGAAATGCATTTTCAGATGCAAAGTAAACTGCATCATGGCAGCCCCCCCCCCACCCCACCCCACACCGAAATGGGTGAGACAGAAGCGGAAGAGACAGAGGCCAATTTCAAGACCTTTAGAAGAGGAAGTGATGAGAAGACAAGTTTATTTTCTATTCAAACATAAAAACAGCATTTTAATAACAGCTAAAGGTGACATAGATACTTTATTATGGTATAGTATTTAAATATATGCCTGAGAAACACATAATATTGGCCCTTTAAGTATGTGTTGCAAAAAAAACTGCTCAGTATCTGTAAAGTTTGTCCAAAAGCAGCTAAAATCCTATCAGTGTTTCTCACAGAGCATTGAGCTTTACTCCCGTGTGCCAGAAAAGGTGACAGAGAGGACTTTGTGTTGATCCTGTACTTGTCCCATGTTGTGGTCCCCGGCGGGGTAAAGTGCYTTAAAGTCAACCATTAACAGAGCCGTCCTCCTGTTGCGCAGGTGGAAGACATCGACGCTGCCGTGGCCGACCTGAAAGCGAAGAACATCAGGACTCTGTCAGAGGAACCACGGGTCGGCGCTCACGGGAAGCCGGTCGTGTTTCTTCACCCTAAGGACTGTGACGGTGTGCTGGTGGAGCTGGAGGAGGCCTGAACGGAGCCTGGAAGCTGTTTATTAACGTCTTTAAACTCCAGAGACACTTGGATAAAAACAGTCATTAGCTCCTCAGTCCAGGGAACCTGTCATGACTTTCCTGTTCTGGTCTGAATTAATTGCAGTCTGCTGTGTTTTGACTCCATAAAGGGTGATGCTAATGATTGTTTAGTGACTCTTCACTGTCCAACAAAAACATTTCAGTGCAACATGTTTTAACCGTAGTTAAATTAACATCATATATATAAACCTCTTCTGGGTCACAACCAGTAAAGCACTGTGGTTTCTATGAAAACGCTATTAGATTTGTGCAACTTCAACAAGCTCAGAAAGCAGATTTACAGCGTAGACATTTAAGAAAATCTCATCGATGATCCTGAAGAAAAGTTCAACATGAATCAGTTCAGAGCAAATCTGTATAAAAGCTTGAATTCACTGGTTGAACCTCAGCGTTGCGCGGCTCGCGTCACACCTTTATAACTAAACGATCTATCTCCAGTGGCGACACAAAAATGTCTAATGCAGGGGTCTGCAACCTGCGGCTCTGGGGCCACATGTGGCTCTTTGGTGCCTCAGCTTTGGCTCTTTGAAAATGTGGCCAAACATAACAGAATTTTTTTTTGTTTGTGTGTTTTTTTATACCCACAACAGAAATCAATTTACCGTATTTATTCATGTACTGTATAATACGATCTCGAGTACAATACAATCATAATTTTTGAACTTAAAAAGCATAAAAAATGTAATTATCAATAACCTGTGAATAATAATACCCCCCGCCCCACACCACACACAATTTATGGATGATTTTTAGGGTAAAATGTCTAGTATAATACATGAATAAATACAGTATATGCAAATGTGATTAATACTAAAACAAAATGTAAAATATGCCGGCCTGTTATCTTCTTTCTATGATCTGTCTCTTTAATCCATCAGAATTACCGTTAAAGAATTTGAAGACTACATAATAAGAATTAGATAAATATACCTGAAGAGTTCAGTTGTACTAGTTTTTACACAATTCATTATAAAAAAAAATTTCTTGTTTACGTGAATCTGGTCTTTTCTTTTGTCCTGAGGTGTAAAAATAATAGTAAATAATAAAATTCACTGTACATTTTTTCAGTTTTATAACGTCACCTCCACTGGCCATAAAGGTTCCCAAAGAGGCCTCGAAAAGGCCCACGGACCATCAATTGATATTCACAGTTGCAGCTTGTTTTGCGGCTCTGGACACACTTTATTAGTGAGACAAGCAGCAGAAATGGCCTTTTTGATCATAAAGGTTGCAGAGCCCTGATCTAATGTTTCTCTCAAACTAATCGAGTTATCAGCCCACCAGCAGGGGGCGTGGCAAGTCTAATTTATTTATTCACATTTTTTAAAAAAGCAAGTTGACCAAGCTATTGAACAAGAAAAAGAACAAGTGGTAAGACCAAACAAACAACACCATGAAAACCTAAAAGCTAAAACTCAGTCTGGTTTTTGTGCCAATATGATTTTAAAATGAGTTTTGAAGGTTATCCAGCTGTTTGGTGCAGCCGTCATTTGAATGTGCAGGTTTGTTTTATTGTTCAGGTGAAAAGCCTGAGCTCATCTGAGATTTAATCTGCTTTTCTAATTTTCCTCTGGGATTAATAACGTGTTTTTAATTTGATTTTGATTTTTGATTTGATTCTGCACAGCCTGGATCATCTCACCTGGCTGTAGTCTCCTCTCAGGAGTGTGCAAAGCCAGAGTGCAGGAGGGGGGAAAGGAGCCACATTCATTGACTTACAAACAAACTGCATGATTAGAGGAGTGGTTCTGAAGTGAATGGACAAAACAGCAAAACGTGGCCTCACCTGCATGTTTCTGAACATGTCAAGAAAACAGACTGGTTAGCAGAGGTTTATAGTAACTAAGTACATTTGCTCATATAGTACAGTTTTTTTGAGGATTTGTAATTTTACCAAGTATTTTTAATTGTTAKTTTTAATTTTACATTTAAAATCTAAAATTGATACTTTCACTTCTTCACTTTAGAACTTAACATCTAGTTAATTGTTACAAAAGTAAATATGACCAAACTCAGTTGTTTATTTGCTCTAAAAAACTGAAGTGTTGAATTAACTCAACCAAGTCATGTCAACTGGTTTCACTAAACCTAGTAGAGTTCATATGAGGCAAGAATATTTTTTCCACTTGGTTTAGTGGAACCAGTTTGTTTAACCCCTAACAGACGCCCCTGAAATTCCTTAAAAGCCTTTTGACATTTTTAAGTTGTCAAACTAAAGGTAAGAAACAGGAAGTTGTCTGACACCCTAGTCCTCAAAATAAAAGCCCCCCAGCAGTGTCTGGAAACGTTTAAAGGCAGAATCTGAACCTTTTTTGTCCACCGGTGGAACAAAAACTGTTAAGGGGTTCAGTAAATTCTACAGTTTATTTCTTAGATAGTGTGCAAAAGTACTTTTACTTTTCCAATCTTTATGAACAGTTTTATGACTTTTACTCAAGTATTTTTCTCATCAGTGAAACAGATTTTTACCAAAGTCATTTTCTGTTAAGGTATTTTACTTTTACTTACCTTAGTTATTTTTTTCAAGTACTTTATAAACCTCTGCTGGTTAGTATGAGGATAAAACTAACTGATATGTCTGGAACTCAAATAGGAGAAACGTGAATGGAAATCGGGACCAATTGAAGACTTTTTACAGAGATTTGAACATCCAGCTAAAGTTGCCGTGTTTTCTTTCAAAAGGCCAAGATCAAAAACGAAGATAAACTTGTTCAGTGTAATAAAGTTCAGTGATATCCATTGTTTCAAATCGTCTGAGCAGCACAAGGTTTTATAATATGTTTCTTTTTATGGGGAAGTTACATTTCAGGAACAAAGAGCCAACATTTTATACCTACCTACAAATCAACCAAACAAGCAGGGGAATGAAAAAGGAACCAACCGTCCTTCCACCACCAACAAAACAGGGAAACAAGAGATTAAATTGCAACACTGTATTACTGGTGACGCAGACTGACTCACAGTCATTTCTTATATTTCCTGTTAAAAAATTTAATTGGCTAACTTGGAAATCCCCACAGCTTTCCTGGATAAATGTTAAAATGTGTAGTGTTTTCTGTAATGAGGCAGTCGTAAACACGTCTTTGGCTTACTTTGCAAAGAAATGATTTAATACATTTAATACAGAGTACATTGTAAAAAAACATTCTTGTTCCAAACGTCAACCAGTATTTACAGATTACAGAATTTCACTGCATTATGTTTCTTTTGTGTCAGCAGGTTGTGTGGAAAATTACAGTAAAGTATTGTTTTTCTGAAACGGCATCTGTGGAACTTGAAAGTGACATTTTATGTTGTTTTTGTTTTGATGACGTGTGACTGAGGAAGTCGTGTTTGTTTTGCTTGACATGAGACCAAAAAAAAAGCACATCTGTTTGCACAAATTTGTGGCACGCTTAAATAAGGCTCCTGGCAGGTCTCGGATCAACTCAAGGACAACAAAGARGAACAAAACTCTGTGGACAAAAACTGCAAACCAAAGCCAGAAGATTTGTGGTTGAAAATGTCCGCAGTAGAGTAGTCCTGTAAACAAATCAAGTCTTGTTCAGATTAACTATGGATCCCACTGCTCCATTAAAAACYCAATAAAGTTTCCAATGTGGGCAAAGACATAATAGAAACAGTCAAAGGAAGTCAGTTACCAGTAAAACCAGTGTCATAAAGTACCTCAAAGTGATACTTGAATAAAAGTACCATAAAATTACTTTGGCAAAAGAATATTACTTGAAAAAAAGTCTTAAAGTATCTGATATTTTTTGTACTTTTGTGTCAAAAGTAAATTTCTGATATAAAATGTACTTCAGTAATAAAAGTTTTGAGTAAAAATTAACAAAATGACAGTTATTATGAAGTGACCTTTTTCTAAAGGCCATAATGACCATATTAATATATTAAAATGTTGGTAACGCTTTCTTTTACGGTACCTTTATTACCATGTAATTACAAGATAATAGAAAATAGTAATTAAATTGTAATTACTACCTTATTACCATGTAATTACAAGGTAAGAAAAAGTAATTAAATTGTAATTACTATCTTATTACCATGTAATTACAAGGTAATAAAATAGTAATTAAATTGTAATTACTATCTTATTACCATGTAATTACGTGGTAATTACAGTACAAAAGAAAAACTACTGTTGGTAAAACTACCTTTATTGGGTAACTACAATCAAATTACTATTCAATAGTAACTCAACACTATATTTATAACCAAAAGAATGCAAATTAATTTTGGGGTTAATGGTTAATTGCAATCAAATATAACTTTAAAACTGTCAAAATTACCTACTACTTATTTAGGTGTTACATAGTGAATTGTAATACATTACCAGCTAAGTGCTACATTACTGCATACAATTAATTACATAGTAAAATCGTAACCTAATTAGCATGTAATTACATGGTAATAAGGTAGTAATTACATTTAATTAATATTTTTATTACCTTGTAATTACATGGTAATAAGCGTACCAAAAAATAAAGCGGTACCAAAATGTTAATTTTAAAAAAATTAGGATGCATTAGTCCACCTGATTTAGCTGCATATATACTATATATATGTATGCCACAGACATCTTCATACTGAGCTACAGATGTCATACAGCTCTGATCAATTGTGTACAAACTAGTGTCAGAAGATATATTTGTACTTCTCATCCAACCACAAATAAATTCACTACCCTGGAGGTACAATTTATCAGCATAGTATTTTATAAGCCAGAATTAGAGTAAAAACTAACCTTTTTATAAAGAGTAAAAAGTACAGATAATTCAGTAAAAATGTAGGAAGTAAAAAATTCTACTTAAGTACAGTAATAAAGTTTTTGTACTTTACAACTGTGTAAAATAAAACCTATGAAGCATTTTGGTGGCATCATGATTTAAAGCAGGGGTTCTCAGTTTTTGGGTCTGGGGACCCCTTACAAGGGTGAAATTTTTCCAGGGACCCCCTCCCGTTTAAAAAACCATTTATTGTAATTTTAACCCCTAAATACTATGGGAATATTACATTGGTTTAGGGCATTGTTCCCCATATTTTAATAAAATTCAAATGAACAGTTTGACATTTGAGGACCTGTGGGACTTTTTGAACAGAGGCTTTCACAGCTGTGGGGTAGAGCGTGTCATTGTAAGAAGCTCAATCCTTAAAATTGTACAAATTTACTAAAACTTGAAGTAGGCAAAAAGTCAGAAATAACTGCACATTGGTGTCTGCCATCGTTTGGATTTAGTCTAGTTGTAAAGCTACAACAGCTGTACAAATGACAAGGTGTACTTTAAAACTGGGCAACTTCCAAATTCTAAAGCATCTGGTGTTTTCGGTTCCTGCAGCTTTGCACTGAAACTGAGATAATTCAGTTTAGTTCCCCCGTTGACAGTCCAGACTCTAGAACGGTTTAGATTTGGTCTTACAAGGATTGACTTACAAATGTGACAAAATTAAGGCCTTCAATTGGGCCATGCTCCAAACTTAAACTGAATCTCAAAGACAACCTGACATCTGAGGCCTTTGGAACAAGGTGCTTATTGTGGGCTTGCACCATATATTTAGATAATTCAGCACTGGGAACAGAAACTGTTATTTTACTCCTCCACTCATTTTAAAATTGGAACCTGAAACCCAAGCTTTCGAGTTGTATGTAAACATTGACATTTTTTAAACAGACTAAATTCAGTTCTGTAAGAGAAGTGAAACACTTCAAATTAAATAAAACTGAAACAAAGTTTGACAGTAGAGGGTTTTTATTTGAGCTCAACTATTTAACACAAGGTGACATGAGCGAAGCATCGATTGAAAGCTTTAGCAGCTTTTTGGTTTTAAAGAATCGTGAAGCAGAAATAAATTAAACACAAGKAGTTTTCCTAGTTTCTGAGACTAGGAAGCCCATCGCTGCGCAGATCTGATTTAGCTGCTTTCGCCCAGAGTGTGTTTGTCAAACAGGTATTCAGCCAAGCCYTTCTGAGGAGCCCCCATGCGGCGCAGGTTGGTCACGTGGTCTCCCAGCTGTTTGATGGCCTTCACCTGCTCGTCCAGATAGTGGGTCTCGATGAAGTCGCACAGCTGAGAGAGAAGAGCAAAGGGTTTAGAGCTTTGAGTTCACTGAACTGTCAACCACAGCTCAAGATTTGTTTGCTGTACAGCGAGCAGATACGTTTAATACTTACATGTGGGTCGTTGTGAGTGGAGCAGAGCTTGTGGCAGTCCAGCAGAGACTGGTTCACACTCTTCTCAAGCTGCAGGGCGCATTCAAGAGCCTCAACACCACTGGACCACTCATCCCTGTCTGGCTTCTGCAAGACAAAACCAGTTCAATGTGAGACTCAAGGGGTGAGACCAAAGACCTCGTTCAAGCCCTCTAATCACCTGAAACTGGGTTTACAGTTTAACGTTCTGCTGAGGTTCAGGGAGCGGTTACAGGAGATAAAGCAGCACATGCCACTTACGCCCTTTGTATCTCTTCAGCTCCTCCCACTTTTGTGATAACAGCCTCGAACACAATGAATTTAAGAGTAAAAAATCGTTAATTTTACAGGTTTTGATTACCTTGACATCTTGCAGGAAGATCCTTCCTCCCCTCTGGTTCTGCAGTTTCATTAGCTTCTCAGCGTGCTCGCGCTCCTCGTGGGACTGCTCCAGGAAGTACTTGGAGAAGTTCTTCAGTGCCACGTCATCCCGATCAAAGTAGTATGCCTACAAAATACATTTACAAGATTAATTGGTTTTAAAATAAACTACTTCATGTTTTTTATATCATTTCAGGTTTTAAATTAAAGTGCAACATCACACTCAAAAAGCAAATCAAAACTTCAGCTTACATAGTCCCCTTTTAAAAAAACCTGCATCTATTAAATCCATTACATACAAAGCAGACCAGATGTGCACAGTTTAGTAATACGTACCATGGACAGGTAGACGTATGAGGCGTACAGCTCCAGGTTGATCTGCCTGTTGATGGCAGCCTCACAGTCCTGATGGAAGTTCTGTCTCACCTGGGAAGTCATGGTTCTGAAAAACAAGACACATAATTTAATAATTGGCAAACGGGAACAAGGCAAGCTAATATAAAAAAAAAAAAACAAGATTTGTAGTTGTGTTTAAAATGTGATAAAGCATTAATTTCAGGAATGGTTCTAATGCTAGAAATAAAAATGCGCAAGAACTGGAGAACAAGAAGGGAGTGGGGGGGGGGGGGGGGAAAAATGGGGGAGGGATGCGTAAGATACGATTAAATTTAACCAAATCTTCAAAAAGATACATAAACAGTACACTTTAAAGTTTAAAAAATGTCAGAACCATGATTTATTCACTTACCTGATTTGAATGTCGGTTTTTGACGTTCGAGTTGGCTGCGTTATTAGCAAAACAGTTAGCCCTCGAGCTAAGTGAAATGTAGAACAAGCTTCGCTGACGTTTCAAGGTTCCTCGATGGAAAACTAGGAAGCAGAAGCGCCTGATTTCGTCCTGAGGTGTCCTGGACAGTCGAAAGGTTGCCGTTCAAGCACTGTTGAAGCAGGTAACCTTGACGGTCCACAAACGAAACGATGAACTGTGAGCTTTAGAGCGTGCGCCCTCCGTTTATATAGGCCAGACGGACCGTGCGTCACTTCCGGAAGAGGGCGGGGACTTGCTGTAAACAACTTGATCTGGATGCGCAGTTCATTAAAAAAACATTGTAAATAAAATATTTTAAAATGATCTGCCACTGATATAAAATGTTTATGCTTATTTGCTTGAGCTGACGTAGGTCAACAACTTAACGCTGCTAGTTAATTTATGTTTGCATTTAATTCTTTTAGGACAACTTTAAATTTACTTTTCCTAATTATTATTGCTTTAAATTAATTATAGAAAATGCGGCATATATTATATGATTTTCATCTTTCTGCCTCCTTTCATTTTTAAATTTTTTCCTTTCATTTCAATTTGATTTGTATATATTTTTGCTGTGTATATCTTTTGTTTTCAATGTGAATAAAATTTTTGGTTTTAAATTAAACGAATAAACAATTTAAACTAAACTAAACTTAATACTTTTATTTGTGTAAACGATAGTTGGCTATACTTTCATTTAACCTAGATGGACATTGTCATAGTCCATAGTGTCATGACACTAAAATAACATAAAAAATAAATGAACAAATACTCAACAGAATGTTGTCATGACCTTCACATTTAGTCTCAATCAACTTTTCACGCTGTTTTTATTCATGAATTGTTTATAGACCACTTGTTACTGTATGATTACACATTTAAAATTTGTTAAATTGTGACTTTGTTTGTGCCTGGCTAATTGAATAGCTTTTTTCGAGAATAAAATTTAAAAATGAAGTTGTATCATATTTTTTACAAGCCCAAAGTCACAAGTCTGTGTGTCATGGCTTTACAACAGACATGTTTTACGTGACTCAAATTACAGCACATGACTCAGCTCTTTCTAGATTTACCTCCCCCCATCAGACACACCCTTACAATGACATAAGCAAATTTAAAAACAGGATTTAGTGACCAAAGGAAATGGTCACACTCCTGATCAAGTGGCTTACTGATAATTTCTGGAAATGTTTTTTAAACAGGAAGTCATCAATTTTTAAGTTCACATCAGTTCATATATTCCTCATCCACACTGCATGTCACAACAGAGGAATGCCCAGGTGTGCTGTAACGTCAAGGGTGTGGGGTAGTGATGGCAACAAAAGCACGTGTTGATGAAGTGCATGACAAGGTTAAGAAGCAGCTGCTTAACTAGTTTTGCAACTACATTTTTAAAATCACTGACTGGGAAAATGCATCAGCTGATTTTACTCAATTATAAACAATACAATCCCACACTAGATATTTTACAATTCTTTTTAACTTGGAACAAAACTTAACTTATACATTTTAATAAGTAAAATCTGTTTCCATGTGGTCCTAAAATGTTTTATAGCCTGAAAACTTCCAACATATCTAAATCCAAAATGCATTTTAGTACTACTTGGGCGAATAAAGTGCTGACAGGTCACACAACCAGCGACTAATTCAGCACAATTTAGCGTTTCATGTGACATTTTTCCATTCCTCAGAGGTGCTGACACAGCAGGAACGGGACAATTTCTGCCGGTAAATAATGCAGGTGTTGGTGTCTGGTGTCCAGACCTGTGTTTATCACCATGACTCATTCAAAAGGCTGAACCAAAAGCCAAGGACAACTACCTGGGCTTGATTAAAACAGTAAATATTGCCATCAGCCGTGTCCAGTTTACATGCAATAAATGCATCAACCGAGTTTTAAACTTTGAAACTTGTCATAACTTGTCTCATAAATCAGATAATCCAAATGCAAACTATCAAAATGTTGGGATGTTTTTGGCCGAGGTAAATAAAATAAATATCACAACTCAAATCAGGAAAGCAAAGATTTGCAAACACACCTGACAGCAGCAACATTTAAGTTTTTACAAACTTTATTTATGATTTGAAAAGGTTTAGTCAAAGAGGCCGAATCCCATGTCGTCATCAGACTCCTCAGATTCTTCTTTCTTCTCCTCTTTCTTCTCCTCAGCAGCAGCTACAAAACACAACACACAAGTCATTTTCTGCATTGTTTTACATTATGTTTAAATTATTTAAAGTTCTCAAAAAAGTAAAGATATATTTTTAAACAAACACATTTTGCCTTAAGAAAACATGGGAAAAAAATAATTCAACTTTTTTTAAATAAAATTTTTTCTGCATTATTTAATCTAAAATTGACAACTAACTTGGCAGCCTGTGTTTATAAATGTGACCGATCACATCGAAATGAGGATTAAGTCAAATTTGTTCAAAATGACCTAATCACATTTTCAGATTCCTGACTTTAAAAGCTACATTTTGATTCCTGGATCATCCTGATATCAGCTTATCCAGAAATATGACATCATTTGTCTTGTTGGTTACAATAACACATTACTCTTTGGTCTGAATGCTAATTTTATGTAAATTTATTGAGTAATTTTG